TCACTCTCCACCCCATGTTGCGCAATTGACTTCAAAACAGCACAGGTCGTTTGTGCTCGGTTTGTGCTGGTTTGTGCCGTTAAAACGAACACGGTATCTGTTTTCCTCTTTTAGATATAAGCAAAATATTTCGGGAGCCGTGACGTCACTCTCCACCCCATTTCCTCCAAATCGCACAAAACTGGTATCATTCGTTTGTGCTGGGTTTGTGCCGGTTTGTGCCGTTAAAATAAACACTTTATCTATTTTCGTTGTTTAGATATAATTAAAATATTTCGGGAGCCGTGACGTCATTCTCCACCCCATGTTGTCTAAATCACACCAAACTGGTATCATTCGTTTGTGCTCGGTTGTGCTGGTTTGTGCCGTTAAAATAAACACTTTATCTATTTTTATTGTTGAGATATTGCCTTATCAAAACATTTCGGGAGCCGTAACGTCACTCTCCACTCCAGGTTGTCTAAATTGCACAAAACAGGTGTCATATGTTAGTGCTGGATTTGTGCTGGTTTGTGCCGTTAAAATAAACACTTTATCTATGTTTATTGATTAGATATTGCCTAATCAAAACATTTCGGGAGCCGCGATGTCATTCAGCGCCCCATTATTTCCTCTAAATTGCACAAAACAGGTGTGCTGGATTTGTGCTGGTTTGTGCCATAACAATTAACACTTTATCTATGTTTATTGATTAGATATTGCCTAATCAAAACATTGTGGGAGCCGCGACGTCACTCAGCGCCCCATTATTTCCTCTAAATTGCACAAAACAGGTGTCATATGCTGGATTTGTGCTGGTTTGTGCTATAACAATTAACACTTTATCCATGTTTATTGATTAGATATTGACTAATTAAAACATTTCGGGAGCCGCGACGTCACTTAGCGCCCCATTCCTCTAAAATGCACAAAACAGGTGTCATTCTTTAGTGCTGGATTTGTGCTGGTTATGCCATTAAAATAAACACTTTATCTGTTTGTATTGTTTAGATATTGCCTAATCAAAACACTTTGGGAGCCGCGACGTAACTCTATATTGCACAAAACATTCAATTGTACTGGTTTTGCCATTTAACCAAAATATTTGGTTAGATTTGTGCTGGTTTGTGCCATGAAAATGAACAACAGATATTTATATTTGTGCGCACATATGTTACTTTCGTTTACTCACAAATTGTGCTCGTTTGTGCTGCAAAAATATTATTTGTAAAAAAATAATATCAGATCATTAAGAGGTCTCTCCACCCCAGTTGCTACATATTTACTAAAATAGTCTCATTTGTGTTATGTGACATATTAAAAAAATTGCAAATATATGACAGAAGATTGTGATATATGACAGAAGATTGTGATACAATATGAGGCATATTAAATTCATAGGCCTACTTTCCACTGACTGAAAATCATCCACCCGCACAGTTGGCCTCAAACTAAAATATAATTCGTATATTTTTCTTGGAAAAAATATTTTTTGAAACAAATTTCGTATATAGTTTGTCTCTTTAAAAGCCGCTTTTCCAATCGTTCGGACCCTTTTTTATGCTGAGCTGTTTTATGCTGAGCTGCAAATCAATTTTATTTGGAGGGAAAATTACCTAAATTTAACGTGATGAATGAAAATGATTGGAGGGGAAATAAATTTATCAAAAATTTCATACATTAAGGAAAAATAAACAATGATAATAAAACAATAATAGTGCATTTGTATTATAGTGGCAGAAATATATTTTTTGAGAAGCCTTGGGCAAAGTAAGCGTGCACTTTCACTAATAAAAAATATAGCACTTAAATTATTTCATTTTTAACAATCAATAAATTAGTTGACAAAAATCTAAAATATATATTTTCTTGGTAAAATAACCATTTAAACAATGGCTGTTATTTATTTTAGTATTCAAACATTAAGTACCGATTTTTTCAAGTGAAATAAGAATGAAAATGAAACAACAGCATATCAGGATGTAAAGCATATTCATATTAAAGCAATTCCTTGAGATTTTAGAAAATATAGCTACCCAGTATATATTAAAGATCACAGAGAAATTACATGTCCCCAAAAATGTCCAGCTTATATTTAACTGAATTGTATAAATATTGAAAAGTGCTCATTTTATTTTTATTAAATTTTTGTTTAATATTTGTAATTTTTATCAGCAAAAACAATATCAACATTTAAGAATCTATATTTATGTTATTCATTCATTCATTCATTCATTCATTCGACTTGTTTATTGGTGCATATATAGGCTATAATTTAAATTACACAACAGTAACTTGGACAGTAAAGCTTTCAAACAAAAGTCCAAAAAACTAAAGTTTTAAAGTTTAAATAAATTTTCTCCGGTGACGGCCGACATCACAACACGCCGTATAACCGTCCTTCAGGTGGTAGCCTATAGCCGGCATTAAATTACAAAACAAGCTGTCTGGGCCTTGAATTAAAAAAGTTTAGTTATTTCCTCATTGTTTAAAGAGTCTACAAGTTATTAAATATAAAATAAATATAATAATATTAATAATAATGACAATAATAAGAAGATAACTAAGGATAATGAAAATATAACAAAATATTACATGTTTATCTTTTAATAAACCAAATCAAAATGGTCAAAATAACATCCTACAGCCCGTGATAAAAACGCACAGTGTTTACCAATTAAGTGAATGTAAATATTTTATATGATTGTTGTTATTGTTATTATTATTATTAATTGTAATTAATTAATCAATTATTTATTGTTATTTTATTGCCATTTGGACATTGTTCTTTTACTGTATGACAAACAACACAATCACGAAAACCAAAACTTATCTGTAGAAAACGCATAGCCTATGTGTTTGCGTGTGTTATAATCTATTTTTCCCCATAAAATAAAAAAATTAACTAAATAAGTCCACTAAAGCTGCTTTACTTATAAGTGGTAGGCCTACCTACCACAACAGAAAAGTTTAGGCTGCTAGTTTAAATACGAAAGCAGCCTAATATGGACGACCAGATGATAAGAGTATTTAAGAGAAAATCGCAGCATGGTTAAACAGGTAAAAAAATGTATATTAATACATTTTTTATAAAATTAATAAATAAAATTAATAAAAATTATATATATATATATATATATATATATATATATATATATATATATATATATATATATATATATATATATATATATATATATATATATATAAATTTTTCCTCTATTGTTAAGCATGCTGGCTACTCATATGAGACTAAAAGGAAGTAGATAAGTAAAGCAGGGTTGTAGCCAATTATCTTTATATTGGCCAAGCCCTTTTACTTGGATTAAATCTGTCAAAATGATGTTCGCATCCTTCATGCTTTTTCTAATAATAAAAAAATCTCAGAATAACCTTGGCCTACACTATCTAAAAAAAAAATAAAGCATCTTAGACAAAATTTCTATCAGCCCAAACAAATTTAAATATTTTAAAATATGCGGGTAGCTGATATCATTATCTTTCATTCAATATTTTAATAAAAGAAGCAACACTATCGAAACTTTCAGGTACAATCCAGCACAAATGAAACGCACATAACGAGACTATTTTAGTAAATATGTAGCAACTGGGGTGGAGAGACCTCTTAATGATCTGATATTATTTTTTTACAAATAATATTTTTGCAGCACAAACGAGCACAATTTGTGAGTAAACGAAAGTAACATATGTGCGCACAAATATAAATATCTGTTGTTCATTTTCATGGCACAAACCAGCACAAATCTAACCAAATATTTTGGTTAAATGGCAAAACCAGTACAATTGAATGTTTTGTGCAATATAGAGTTACGTCGCGGCTCCCAAAGTGTTTTGATTAGGCAATATCTAAACAATACAAACAGATAAAGTGTTTATTTTAATGGCATAACCAGCACAAATCCAGCACTAAAGAATGACACCTGTTTTGTGCATTTTAGAGGAATGGGGCGCTAAGTGACGTCGCGGCTCCCGAAATGTTTTAATTAGTCAATATCTAATCAATAAACATGGATAAAGTGTTAATTGTTATAGCACAAACCAGCACAAATCCAGCATATGACACCTGTTTTGTGCAATTTAGAGGAAATAATGGGGCGCTGAGTGACGTCGCGGCTCCCACAATGTTTTGATTAGGCAATATCTAATCAATAAACATAGATAAAGTGTTAATTGTTATGGCACAAACCAGCACAAATCCAGCACACCTGTTTTGTGCAATTTAGAGGAAATAATGGGGCGCTGAATGACATCGCGGCTCCCGAAATGTTTTGATTAGGCAATATCTAATCAATAAACATAGATAAAGTGTTTATTTTAACGGCACAAACCAGCACAAATCCAGCACTAACATATGACACCTGTTTTGTGCAATTTAGACAACCTGGAGTGGAGAGTGACGTTACGGCTCCCGAAATGTTTTGATAAGGCAATATCTCAACAATAAAAATAGATAAAGTGTTTATTTTAACGGCACAAACCAGCACAAACCGAGCACAAACGAATGATACCAGTTTGGTGTGATTTAGACAACATGGGGTGGAGAATGACGTCACGGCTCCCGAAATATTTTGATTATATCTAAACAACGAAAATAGATAAAGTGTTTATTTTAACGGCACAAACCGGCACAAACCCAGCACAAACGAATGATACCAGTTTTGTGCGATTTGGAGGAAATGGGGTGGAGAGTGACGTCACGGCTCCCGAAATATTTTGCTTATATCTAAAAGAGGAAAACAGATACCGTGTTCGTTTTAACGGCACAAACCAGCACAAACCGAGCACAAACGACCTGTGCTGTTTTGAAGTCAATTGCGCAACATGGGGTGGAGAGTGACGTCACACGGTAAAAAAAATAATGCTTAATATCTCAGACCCCAAACCAGCACAAACGTTCGTTTTTGCGGCACAAATCAGCACAAACGTAGCACAAACGAATGGCATAGTTTTGGGGATTATTTGTTTTTATGGGGTGCCAACTTCACGGAGGTCCCGGTGAAGGAATGCCGACTATGCTGTTATTGATTTGAAAACAAAAGACAATATCAATACTGTATATCTATTGTACGCAGGGAAGAATGTGTTTCATTACCGCTATCTTGTCTACATGAGGTAAGAAAAGCGATAACAAACTTTTGAAAACTATGTAGATGATTGTAGCGTAGATATGATGTCTAGTTATTAAACGGTCAGTAGAAGACATGCAGTTCACTATCAAACATATAATGAAGACTCTTTTAATCAGTGTCATGGCGTTTTGGGACAGAATGTCTTTTTATCCTGTAGAGGAAATAACTTCAAAGCTTTTTTTTCCCCTGAGAGAAATGCAAACAAATGGAATGTCTTTATGATATAATGATTGTTCTTCTTCTTCTAGACCGGTAATTGGTTTCATGGGAGCTGGCTGTGGCACATTACCAGAGGATACTGCAGTCTGGCATTAATTCAAAGGGCTGAGCAATGACCTCTCAACCAGATAACTTAATACTGTCCTCTGGTCAGGACTTCAGCATGGACTACACCTCCTGGGACATTCAGCTGAAGATTACTGGCCTGGGCTTCATCTTCTACACCTTCATCTTCTTCCTCTGTCACGTACTGTCGACTCTGCTGTTTCAGACCTACCGCTCATTGTCGGCCAAAGAAAAGGTTCTATTCATTTGCAGTTATTGTGGTTGTTTATAAAGTTTGTAAGGATTTTAAATCTTTTTTCTATCCTCTTTGCAATCTGTGTGCTGACCTTGCATTCAAGAAATTTGGGAGCAAATAAATAGTTATTTAATAAAACGGAAATAACTTAAACAGATAGTTCACCCAAAAATGAATATTTTGACATAATTTACCTGTATTTCTCCTCCACTTGTTCCAAATCTGAGTTACCTTTTTCTGTTAAACACAAAGGAAGATAAACAAGAATGTTGTGGACATTGTGTTTTTTCCCTTACTATGATGTCAGTGGCTGCTTTTAACATTCGTTCTTCATAAAATCTTATTTTATGTTCAACAGAAGAAAGAAATGCATAAAGTGTAAAATCACTTGAGTGTAAGTAAATGTTAAGAAAACATTCGATTTTGGGGTGAGCTCTTCTTTTAGATATTTCTTCTAAAATCGTGTTTTATATTATTTTGTTTCTCAACAACAACCTCTCATTAATGAGCGAGTGATTTACAGATCTACTTATTTATATGAGAAACTAAGTAGATTGATATAAATAAATATATATTTTTATTATAAATCATAATTGAAATGTATAAGTATGTGAAATAACCAACATTAACCACATTGCATGAATTAAACAATTAAATGGGTTTAAATTGTAGCTACTGATAACTATAAAACTGTCCAAATATGTGAAACTTAATATTTATTTGCATAAATATTTTGAATAAGACAGCATTGAAGCAACATAAATATTAATCGAAAAATATCTAAAATAAAATAAATTTCACTTCTTTTATGTATCTCTTTTGAATCATAATAGACCTTTATTAAATTCTTTATTAAAAAATCATTAACATGTTCTACCATTTAAAAATTTTCTAGGTTTTCTGGGATTTGGCTGCAACACGGGCTGTGTTTGGCATTCAGGGCATTGTGGCAGGTCTTCGGGCCCTCATGGAGGAATCTGTTCTCTTCTCTGATAAGATTCTCGGACAGGAAGACTGGTCCTGGTTCAACATTCTAACTTCTACGGGCTTCTTCCTGTTTGAAAACATGGCCCTCCACATGTCCAATGTGGTGTTTCGTTCCTTTGACCTGCCGTTAGCTGTTCACCACTTCTTCGCCCTGGCGGGGTTTGCAGGGGCGGTTGTGTGGAACTGGCAGGGTCATTTCCTCCCTATGGTGACACTGCTCCTGGAGATGAGCACACCCTTCACATGCATATCCTGGATGCTGCTAAAGGTAAGGTGCAAAGGTCAAGGGAAAAAATTATTTAAAAGATTTAGTGCAGTTGGTATAGCTGTTACTCGGTTTGTTTTTTCAGTAGAACATTAAAGAAGATTTTTAGCTGAAACTTTGGTTCTTGTTGATTCAAAGTACCAATAGTCACTGACTTGCAACACTCAAAACTAAAAACATACAAGCAAAACAGAATTAATATCTGCGACTCCTGCTGATATATTGAGGTGTTACTGTATATAGGATGTTTTTTGTGGATTAAAGGTAATTATTTTGCCAATAATGTTCAGGTTTTTTCATACAGACTAATTGTCTCACATCATAGTACCTCAGTTTTTTTTAAAGAGCAACTGGTATTAATATTGTTTACCCTGTATATGTTTTTGACTCTCAGAGTGGTGATAGCTCTTACTGTAGGGACCCCAGTGTCAAAAGTTTGTAGTGAGCTTTTGAAATGCCTTTCTCGTTTGTAGGCCAAATTCACTTCTGTTTTGGCGTGGAAAAAAAACATGTTTTTTCTTTCTCTGTTCAACAATTTTTCTAGCTTGACAACTGAGAACGCCTACAGTTCTGTAACATGAGGCATACTTAGAAAGAGGAACTGCTTTTCTGTCCTTTTATCTTTTATGAGATCAGGTGTGTTCAGATAGCTTGGGTCCATGTATCCGTAAATGTTTGTGTATATAAGTATTATATAGTTTGTATACATAGATAGGCTATCTGTGCAATAATGCAATATTTTTACTTTTAGTTTTATTGTAAATGAAAGGAAATATTCATTCATTCATATTTCTTCAGCTTAGTCTCTGACTTATCACAGGTCGCCACAACTAAATGAACCACCAACTATTGCGGCATATGTTTTACACAGCAGATGCCCTTTCAGATGCAATCCAGTGCTTTGAAACACCCATACACACTCTCACTCACTGCAGCCAATTTAGTTTATTCATGTCTTTGGACATGTCTTTAGACTGTGGGGGAAACCAGAGCACCCGGAGGAAACCACATCAACATGGGGAGAACATGCAAACTCCACACAGAAATCCAGCTGGGAATCAAACCTGCGACCTTCTTGCTGTATTTTGTATTTTTTGAAACATCAACTAGAAAAAAATCAAGGGTTTTCCACTAATAATTCTGACTGTGGGAAAGTTTTGACATGACTTAAAGATGTTTTTACATGCTTAATTTAATGCTTCACTGATCTATTTAATTACACAAATGTGCATTGCATTCTTGGCTGTGGTGCAGGATATCTTACAATGGGCGTTAGCATTAAATTATCTGTCATTTTTTCCAGGCTAAATGTTGTCATGATGTTTGCAGAGACTGTTGCTGAGCAAATTACTTAAAGGGAAAGCTCACCCAAAAACAAAAACACAGTTTCCATTTACTCACCTTCATGTTGTTTCAAACCTAAAAACTGTCTTTCTTTGTTGAAACATAAAAAAAATGTTTTTAAGAATTCCTTAGCTTTTATGTCCGTACAGTGAAATTGAATGAAACTACAGATACTTTCTTTACATAAATCTAAACAAAATATCTTGACTCTAGTTAAACAGGTTAGAAATTGCATGAAGGTGATTAATTGACAAGTGAACTGTCATTTAGACCTTGATAAACTAGTGGCATGTTTGTAGCATTTGAGTTCAAAGATCAGATTTTTAATTAAGATAGTAGTCTACCTAAAAAAAAAAAAGATTCTGTCATTTACGCTTCACTTGTTCCAAACTGGTTTGAATTCTCCTCTCTTCTTTTGAACACAAACTGAAATATTTAGAAGAATGTTGGGAACCAGTAGCTATTGACTTTCAAAGTATTTTTTCAACAATGTATGTCAATCTACTTGTTTTAACTTTTTATTTTCTTCAACAAAAATATATATATATAAAGGTTTAGAACCACTTACCACTTGAGGGTGAGAAATTTGAGAGCACACTTTCATTTTCAGATGAACTGTAACCCTTTATGCATCATATTCTGTGATTTTCTATAGATTTAGAGTTTGTTTCGATTTTAGAAACCAGAAATCAAACATTTGTCACTGTAGAGTTAAAATATAAGTTCTGCTATTCTCTCAGTGTAGCTACTGTAACACTGTAATGAATGAGACTAAGTTTTAAACTATAATCATTCGTCCTTTTCTAAGGCGGGCTGGTCCAAGACGGTGTTCTGGAAAGCTAACCAGTGGATGATGATCCACATGTTCCACTGCCGGATGGTTGTGTCCTATTACATGTGGTGGGTGTGTTTGAATCACTGGGAGGAGATGAACACCCACATCCCGCTGCCTCAGAGACTGCTGTTCTTCACAGGCCTCTTCCTGCTCACCTTCTTCCTTAACCCCATTTGGACACATAAGAAAACCCTGCAGCTTCTCAATCCTGTGGACTGGAACTTTCACAACCAGTCTCCGCCGGAGAATGGACCATTACAAGAGCAGACACAACAAAAGCCCCATGCAAGCTGATTAATGCCAAGGGAAATACAGTTTGGAGGATACTGTTGCTTTTAGTGGGTTTGATTTAAATTGTTTTAGCACTAACTAGTAGCATTTGCTACAACATGAGCACCCTAGTGTTGTTCCGAGTCTGTTTTGCTTCTGTGGAACTGCGTTTTATTTATTTTTTTGTCCATACAGTGTAAGTCAGTCCAAAACAAAACCTCATGTTAAAGTAAAAGTTGACCCCAAATTTAAATTTTACCCACCTGTCACTTATTCTAAACATAATTTTCTTTTTTCTGTTGAACACAGTTTAAGATATTTTGAAGAATGATGAAAACAAGTATCAGTTGACTTGCATATTTTCTTTTTATACTATTTATATAAGTGTTTGGACTTTCAGTAGTTGGGCTTAAACCACACTGAACTGAAATTAAAGTAAATTTTAACTCTGAAATCTGGACTGAACTTCTATGTTAAGCTGCTTTGACACAATCTACATCAGGGGTCACCAACATGGTAGGCAGGTAACCCGCGAGGAAGACATGAGTTGCCCGTGGGTCTTTTCTAAAAATAGCTCACCATAGCACCACATACTAGTTAGCTGCATCTGATATTTTTTGTAGCTATTCTTTTGTAAATCACACTTGCATTGATGTAAAATTGAAAATGACATTAAGTTATACAGCTGAATTCAAAATTATTAGCTCCCCTAAATTATTAGCCCCTCTGTTTATTTTTTTCCCAAATTTCTGTTTAACAGATTTTTTCAACACATTTCTAAACGTAATCATTTTAATAACTATTTTCTAACAACTGATTTATTTTGTCTTTGCCATGATAACAGTAAATAACAGAGACAAGAAAATACTATACAGTTTAAAGTGACATTTAAAGGCTTAACTAGATTAATTAGGTTAACTAGGCAGGTTAGGGTAATTAGGCAAGTTATTGTATAATGATGGTTTGTTCTGTAGACTATCAAAAATATATAACTTAAAGGGGCTTATAATTTTGACCTTAAAATAGTGCTTTAAAAATTTAAAACAAATAAGACTTTCTCCAGAAGAAAAAATATTATCAGACATACTGTGAAAATTTCCTTGCCCTGTTAAACATCATTTGGGAAAAAATTTAAAAAGAAGTAATACAAATTTTGTTAAATCATTATTTACAACTATTGTGAGAAATCATTAACATGATCAGTGTCTTCACATAGATAAATAGCATTATTTATTAATGACAAATAATTAAAAGTAAATTGAGAAAATTTGTTATTTAGAAAGTGTGTATCAAACTGGTAGCCCTTCACATTAATCAGTGCCTACGAAGTTCTCTCAGTTTCAAAAAGGTTGATGACCCCTGATCTACACAGTAAAAGCACTATAGAACTAAACGTGATTTAAAATACCATTGATGTCAATGGCTCCAGGTTTCCAGCATTCTTCAAATATCTTTTTTTTGTGTGTACTGCAGAAACAATAAACTCATTTCGGCTCATTTTTAGCTTAACTGTTGCTTTAACCCGATTGAGTTATATTTTATGGACAAAAGAGCATGTAACACTTTGTTATCTATTGTCTTTAGTAGTTTAGGGAAGTCATTGAGGTTTGAAATTACTTGAAGGTGAGTAAATAGTTTTTCTTTATTTAAAATATTATTAGTATTTTAAATTATGATGATTATTAATATTATTAGTCTTCAGGGAAACATTCATGGTCCTGTAAATATAATGAGATCCATTTTATGCAACTTCCTTTCTTTTACTGATTTCCTGACTTCGGTGTCCTGGAAAAGCCTGTCTGTGTTTGTGTCTTATGGGAGTGGCTGTTTGTACTTTGGCTGTGCAGCACAGCATCTCTCCACCCATGATGTGCTTGTTCTTTTCTTTACTATTAATCTGAGAGGCTTGGCTTGTCGCTGATTCATTGTCTTGTGATAAAGAAAACCCTGACCCCATCATGACCAAACGTGATCTGTCGACTCAAGTTCACAAAAAGCCACTCAGTGTCAACTTAAGCACAAAGACATCAGATGTTGTACTTGTTTCCCTCTTTTACAAAGGATTTTTCTTTTTTTCTTCTTTTTTTAGGAATATTGAGCTGTAGTGTTCAGTGACTGTGGGCTGTGAGTGTTGAAGGACGTTTGACTTAACTCTTTGTCTTCTGTATAAACGGGGTTTGTTCTGAATGAAACCAAACTATCTCTGCAGAATGGAATGTCTGTGTTAGTGTGTCTGTGTGCTAGGGAAGGATAAGGAATGTAAACAAAGTTGCTTTATTTTACATTTCTATTAGTTACTTTAAGTACTAGATATTAAACGAGTTGCTCTGCATGTATTTATAGATTTTTTTCTCATATTTTTAGACTTCTTAGATGTTTTTGACGAGCTAAAAGCAGAAACTTTAGATTATTGGCATGATGCGCATTACAACAGACAATGCAAAATATGACAGTGCCAAATTAGAATGCATTTACACATCAGTTGATAGTACTACTGGATATGAATGAAGGATAAATGCCTGAAGTGATACTTTGCTTGACCTCTGTAACAGCTCTCAGGGTATTGTGAGGACAACACAAAGAGCAACTGCAGTATTGTCTGACAGTGACAGGTAAAATTAAGCAATATTTAAATGGTAATGAGTTTATTTATAGAAGTGCTCACTAGTGTTAAACCTAGCTATCAGCTACTAAAATACCTCTGCTTCAGTTTCTCATCTCGTTTTTTAAGTGATGTTTAAAAGGAGCATTTCTGCTTTGTTCAGCCTGTTCTTTCACATTGTGGGCGTCAGATGTGCTGATTTGTGTAAACTGTAGAAATGTCACATTTGTTTAGCAGGTTGAAGAATGCTGTTTGTGTGAGTTTTTTTTTTAAATAGCACAATTCTTTGAAATGGAGGTACAAAATGACACAAAACTATAGAATTGTCTTAGTTAACCTTCTTCCTAATTTTGTTTTTAAAGTACATTTCATTTTGGGTTTTGTTTGTACCTCTGCACATTCCAAAATCATTTTTGATCATTTGTGTGAATATTCCTGTTACATTTCATGGTTAATTTAAAACTCTGTTTGCTGTAACAACAAACGACTGCCTGTGTTTTCAGAGTTGTTGTATATTTAAGTAATCAGTGTTGTGATGGGTGCACATTTCAGTTGAAATAATTATTTGCAGGGAAATTATTGTTTCAATTAAAATACAGACCTAATCTGTAAGCTTTAAAGCTACTGATGATGCTCTTCTGTATTTAAACATTTGATCTTCTTAAAAAGGGAGAACAAATAAAATGTTTCATGCCCAAAAAATGTGTTAATATATTTTATTGTCTTTCAAACATTTCATGGTTGTGTAAAGAGTTTTAAATTCAAGCCCAAGTACACTAATACTGGACCTAATTATCGTATACCACATAGCATAGATCAGTTTGAATACATCTACACACCTGAAAAGATTATCTTCTCTTATCTTGAAGAGGAAATGCCTCTGTTTCAACAAACACACGGCACACAAGTAAATATGGTTTCTTGCAAAAATCACTAAGATAATTGAGTGACCAACTCAATCCAATTGAAAACTTGAGGGGTAACATTAAAATGGAGTTTCTGAAGCAAAAAACAAAAATTCACCAGAATGGGGCACTAAGTTAGTTTGTTTTTTCTGGGCTGAAATATCTGTTTATAAATGTGCCAGAGGTTGGGTTAATGCAACACAGGTGGGCAGCAATTTTATACATCTATATCTGTCTACATGCCTGTAAACACTTGTTAGGATACTCAAAACTTCACAAAAATGCTGTGGAGATCAGACAATAGGTGTTGCTTTAACATTTAAAAGGCCCCAAAAACATTTATTTAATGCATTACTACTTTTAGCCACTAGATGACAGCACTGGACCACTTATTGTTGGTTCGGTCACTGAATCATACATAAATACTGTTATTGCATTTAAAATATAATTTAGTCCTAATTTAATTCATTTAAACATTATATTTTGATTACATATTATGACTACATTGAAACCTAATCATTATGTATAAAGAGCAAGAAGAAAAAAGGTCTCACAGCAAAAAGGTTGCTGGTTCGAGCCCTGGCTGGGTTAGTTGGCATTTCTGTGTGGAGTTTGCATGTTCTCCCTGTATTCGTGTGGGTTTCCTTTGGGTGCTCAGGTTTCCCCCACAGTCAAAAGACATGCTGTATAGGTGAATTGAATAATATGTGTGAATGCAAGAGTGTATGGTTGTTTCCCAGTGTTGGGTTGTGGCTGTAAAACATACTAGATAAGATGGCGGTTCATTCCGCTGTGGCAACCCCTGATTAATAAAGGGACTAAAAAAAAAGAAAATTAATTAATTAATGACATATAACAATATATTTATAGATTTTAACATATTATTTATTGATTGTAAAGTTATTTACCCATCTCATTAGTCTTTGTGTCTGAGTGTGAGCTTAATGTCCATCGTGCATGTCACTAACAGATTTTTAATACCCAACCACCATTCTAGCCACTAGACGGCAGCACAATACCACTTATTATAGATTGTAGGTTTGTTTTATTTTTCATTTTTGGAGTTTAAAGTGACTAAAATTGCATTTAAGGTCATTCAGAATCTTGGCATGGTATAAACACTGTTATAGCATTTAAAATCAAATTTAGTCCCAGCTTAACACTTCATTCATTTACACATTATATTTACAGTTAATACATTCTCTTAAGGATGTATATTTATATTAATTTAGAAATGTCAATTTACAGGGAGAGGATACGTGTTTTACAGCATTACAAATTAAACAAAAATTTTTTTTATCCTATTTATTGCTCTCAAATAAACACAAAGCCATGCGAATTTTACAATCTTCTGCATTTTTTAATGTATTCCTGTTTTAAACTTTGTATTAGCCACTAGAACTTTTTGTGATTATTTTCATTCTTATGATGAATAGCTGTAACGCTCATTTGAAAGTCCCTTTCTATAAACACGTCTGACAAATGAATGTAAAAAGGTAAATGTACCTATTCAAGAAAATAAATCTTATCGTTGTAATAAGGATATGAATGACACACTAATAAAACTTGTACCGAATTTATGTGATCACTAGAGTGCAGTACCGCGCCACAAACACACTGCAAACTTATGCCAAACTTCATTGATGTAACTTTGTGCCCATAAGACCGGTTACATTTGCACTAAATATGTTCAACCAACAATTAATAAATCAGTCTGTTTGACTGTCTTGAATCCAGAATGATTTTATAAAATGTTTTAGTACAGAGTTATACTATTTAGTGTATTTGTGTTTGTTTTTAAATCACAACCTTAAAATATTATATTTTTATGTTATTTTATAACTATAAAAGTGTTATAAAAACTATATATTTTATGTATGCAATCTTAGAACAACAAGTATTAATCAAGTAATTATTTACTGTGGTAAAGCATAAGCAGTAGAGCGGTTCGAGTCTCATCACGTGACACATTGGAACGCGTGTGTCCATCGACCCGGAGAATCTGATCGACTTGACTTGAAACCAATCAAAAAACGGCAACAAAAGGCTGAACCAATGAGAGATCAGCGGAGGGCGGGGCCAGGGAGTGGTTGGATCGCGTTTGGAAAAAGCAGTGGAAAAGTTGCCTACAGTCCTTAAAATGATGCAGAGAATATTTATGATGTTGGATCTGCTCTGTAACTAATCTCGTGTTGCGGCGTAGACGGAATCTAATATTTATTTATCTCCAAAAAATGGTGAGTAGATTGGATAAACCATGCGCATGAAATTCCTAAACACTTGAGAATCTACTGAAAGTCAATTAACGTTAGGTTTGGATATTTGTAACGCGCGTATGTTCAGCGACAAATGGATGTGCTTGCAGCAGTTTGTCCATGTTGTGAAGTTTACTGTCTGACGCTGGCGCATTGATATGACATTTCTTGAGAAGGTTTCTACAGCTGTGCCTGATGGGGCGGTTGCGCTTTTCCCGTTGGATTCCGCTGTACGTGGCAAGTGACAACAGCGCACAGTCATGTCAAATTTGAGTAAAAATCTCAGCAATATGATCTTGGTAAACGTCTGTCATGGGGCACGCATATTTGACAAAAGACGTGGAATCCAAAAAAAGGTCTATGCGATATACACTTTTCACGTTAGCAGTAAACCAGGTAATATGTTGTTTATGAGGTTTTAAAGATGCATTCGGTATTATTTATTTTTATTTAATGATTTATCACGACAGTATGCATTTTACGTAGAGGACTAATTGATGTACACACGTGGATGAACTTTAGACTGTTTGGACGGTTTTCAAGAGAAGGTGCTATCATTTAATATAAACGGGATTCCCTCAACAAGTAGACATCACATTACACTGTAAAACCCAACAGTATACTATATCAAATTAAATGAGTGTAGTTACCTCAAAACTGAAAGTTAATTTCACTCATTTGAAAAGATTTGAACTCAGTGTTGAAGGTAATGAGTTAATTAAATACCTCCTTACTTCAACTTAATTTAAGTTCACAGTACTTGTTTTTTTAACTCAAATGGTTTGTAGCATTCGGTTTCCTCAAACGGTTTGAGTTGCTTTTAACTTATGGAGTTTTACAGTACTCAGTTGGTTTGAGTTCTCTACATTTATTGGAATTTACTGTGCTCAGATTGCTTAGTTTACTCAAATGGATTAAGTTCACAGTGCTCATTGGGATCAGTATGTATCAGTTGACTGAAAGTCTGAAATAATTATCCTATCTTTACTTTTATACTTTCGTTTCAATAATTCACACAGTTTAAACATGAACAATCTTCTGGCTCGACAAAAAAAAAAAAAAAACTTGGAAAAGAAAAGCAACTAAACATTTGATGCAAAAAGCATCTGCTGGTAGACTAAATGCATCAACACATGTGTCAGTACATCTAAAATCTACTACTTGGGGTAGGTTTGCACGGTTTACCGATACTTTGGTAGTATTGTGATACTATGGCTTGAAAATACTAGTGGTACCACTGTTCTTTGTAAATGCTTACAGGTTTGTGCAACAATAGACCATTTTATTTGAATAGTCTGTGGAGCCCTTTAAGGTTGCAAAACTGTGTAGAATTCTTGCCTTTTATATTAGCCTTTTCCACGTTATCTAATGCTTCAGTTCAAAAGCACATCTAAGTTAGTTCATTTCTGTTCCTGTCAATATGATTTAGTAGCTACAACAGCCCTAACAATCTCTTAAAAAAAACAAGCCGCAAAGTAAAATTTAGAATAACTTTGGATTGTTACCTGATAAAACAATAGATGAAAAGCCCCAAAGTGCAACAGGGAACACTGAAACAATTTTTGACCACTTCGTATAGCCAAATTTTGTTGGAAAAATGCTATTTTTGTAATGAATTTTGTTCAGTGTAATTTGAATCTTTTTTTTATGTATTTTTTTTGTTGGTCATTTGTCTACAAAATACACAAAAAGAACTAATGCATTTTAGGTGAAGTTATGTGCAAATACTTTTTTTCAATAATAAGGGAATTATGAATTCAATTAAAGCTAAAATAACTCAATTTATTGTTACAAATAGCAAATGCCACAGATGCTTATCACTGTGTCCTTCTATATGAGGCATAAATTCAGAATTTGACCCTTCATTCTTGAACGTACGGTTCTCATCCTTCAAGTAGACAATCTGTACTACAGCTGAAGGTTAATCTCTTCATTGTGCCTGCAGTCAAGAAGTTTGCTAAATAAACCTTAGCAACATGCCTTTTTAAAAATTCATACCTCTCTTATTATACATGGATCAAATGGTCTAAAACATTTAAGGAATGCTATTTTTAATTAGTGAAGCTTTTCCACTTCCCCAAAGTTTTACTGCATCATTTCCTTCCCCGGGAGCTTCAGTCCTTTCAGGAATCTGAGGCCCTCTGGCCTTTCTCTAGATGAGTGTGTGTGATACGGGGGAAGAGCTCTCATGTGCGACTGCATTGTTTGGCTCCATGCTTGTCCAATTCACTTTGCATCAGAGAGCAGGATTTGCTCAGATTGCTGGCAATTTGCTTAGCAAATAGCCACACCACAGGAGCAGGGGCTTCTCCACTCACAGTGATCTGCTCTGTAAATAAAGCCTGTGGATTACATGCTTTTGAAGGCTTGCAGAACATATCCTGAAGCTTATTGGTTCAAATAACTAACCTTTTTTTGTAACCCGTCAACATCTCCTTAGATTTTTTGCAGTATAGTGCTCCACATGGCAGACGTTGATGTGCAATAAAACTGTTTAGAGACGGATTATGTCATACGTGGGCAATTCAGCGTGGTGTGGCATGGCTTTCTTAAAGGAGTTTGAAGAGAAAATGGAATTTATGGCTGAGGGACTTTGAATGGGAGAAAAAAAAACCTCTTTGTTGGCTATATCCTTTGAGTTGTTTCGTTGTGCTAGCCGAGTTGGAGCAGATGGGGTTTTATTGGGTGATCTAATGTTGTGGTCAGGCAATGCACTTGGGAATCTATGTTTGTTAATTGTTAGAGCTCCCATGTCCATGTATGAGCTTTTGTGTCCTGTGAAGGATTACTGAAAACTGCTGAGAATCTACAGAGATGCCAAATGTGCTGTAATGTTGAGCTATGCAGCTTCGCCTCTTTTATTTCAGTTAACCAATACGAATTTGTCTTCTCTATAACCGTTAAGTTTAACCAATATGCTGATGACTTTTGTTTTACTTTAGTGAACATAAAACAGGCTTTTCAGACTGTACATAACCCTGGGTTATTGTCTTTCTGAACACAGTTTTTAACCCTGAGTAAAGACTCATTTCACACATGTCATTTTCCATAGCAGGGTTAACGCCACATTTGTGGTGTTAACCCTGCATTGCTGTGTTAAGTTTGTTCTGTGTGACACAGAGCATTGTTTGCTTGTTGTTGCTGATGGACTCTTGGCAACAGACAGCCAACCAGGAATTAAGTAGCGAGACTCGTGCCATGAGAAAAGTAAAAAATGTTAAAATATGGAAAGCTTGTAAACGTACCATCAGGAGATTGTATGAGAAACTTCGACAAACCTTGTTTTCATTCAATTGTGTTTTAGTTTTGGATTTCTTGCCTTCGCGTATCATGTGAGGGTTAAGATGGCAGCAGTTTTAAAAATGGACCAGAAGATGTGAAAATGCAGTGTTAAAAAAAAAAAAGTTACCTGCTGTTTGTGACACTGCAGATAAGAACGTTAACCCCGGGTTTAGGAATGTACAGTTTGAATCGTCTGTTAGCAATACCTTTATTCGGTAACCCCAGGGTATATCATGAGCAGTTTGAAACATGATTACATAACCTAATATCTCATTTATCTGGGGTTTAGGATGACCCAGGGTAAGGGTTAACAATACAATGTATAAAAACCCCTTAAGAAGACTTTTACTTTCAACCGTGGTCCTTGGTGATTCATAAAATGCAAGTAAAAAGGTAGACCTGCACAAGATATGGAAATAATTGCAATATTGGAAATGTTCATGTCGCAATGTACATATCGCAAATGTTTATAATAAATGAGTGATTTAATACATAGGCATAAAAAACTACCTTTGTTTTGAGAGTCAAAAACAGATAGAAATGAAACAAAGGTAATACCCATGACTCCTGATCATACAGGGTGACTCTCTTTCTAAGACTGGATTGTAATGTTAATTTCCTTGCACAGTCAGTTCATTTTAGCCAATTACCTCAATGTATTGTAAAGAATTTGACTGATCTTGAACCTACAAATTAGCTAGTATTTAGACTTCATATCTGGTTGCAGGGTTTTTTGCCATTGTGATGCTGACAAGAGTATATAGTGGCTTAGTATATAAAGTACATAATCAAACTTAATTTCTCGTCTCCTCATCCTCTCTTTAGTGTCTAACCCAGCAGGATTTAGGCTGGCCTTGACCTGCCTGTGTGTGTGTTGTCATTGGGTTGGTTGCTTGAGGTCACAGAGTTTGCTTTTACAGGTCCACTTTTAACACATTTCAAGCTGGTTTACAGGAGAAAATAGATGGAAGGCATGTGGTGTTTGCTCTTCCAGGCCATCATTTAGTGGTTTGTAAGGTGTACTTCTGTCAGTAACTAACTGTGAATTAAACTTTTGACCTTGAGCAGTAGCCTAAACATCTCAGTGGTAAGTTCTTGTGGTGCATTTTGTCTTCACCATTTATGTGAGGTGTTTGCATTCAGTCAGCATTTTTTTATTATTCTGAACAATTCCTCTGTTCAATTTTAAGACCATGTAATGATTCATCTGAATTTTCAAATTTGGTCTTCTGGTGAATTGTCAGACATTTCTCTAGTAATGCATGCCCCTCTTAAGCATTATAAAAGGTCATATTTTGGTTTTGGGGGTCTCCAACAACAGGCTGATATGCATGCAATGTCAAAATACACTTTTATTGTCTTAATAATAATATTATGCATTTATTTTTACCTAATTATCCCAATGTCTCTAATTTGATTTGTTCAGCAATTAATTTGTTCCCAAACCCCTCCTCGCTAGTCTGTGATGATTGGTCCCACCACCGCTATGAAGTAGCAGAGAGTATGTGAGAGCCCAATGCAGGAGTGCAATAAAACAATGCAGTTAAACGTTAGCATTTTACTGTACTCTTAAACCTAACTCCAAGTAATAACAACGCCGTACACTCAGTATTAATACACACTGTGCCAAAAGTTGAACTTTTTCTGCCTAGAAAACTGACTGTCATGCACGTGAGGAACAGCTGATGGTGGCCTTAGCA